AGAACTTGGTCAGTTCTGCCATGGTTCTGAGAACTAGATTTGGTTGCTTACAAAAAAAATTTGCTGGAAGGACAACCATTGTGAAACAACTGGTCAAAGTACATTACATGTATATAACCTACATGTACATGTGTGGTAATTCAATGTACCGGAAGAAGGGTAGAATAACCTTGGCTCTGTCAAGCTACCACAGGTTATTCACACAGTCCTTTGAAAATTGAAGATAATGTACAAATTGGCACACAACAATCTCTCAACGAAACAATAATGTAATAAGTCACAACTTAAAATGTAGAGAATCACATTATTCATAAGAATAAGGACATTGTTTACTGAAGCCTTCTGTTAGACTAAACCCTGAATTAGTATTGTTTTTTTGCAAAGGTCTTTAAAAAAATATGGAAATTAAAATGGAAAGATTTGGAACTACAGTATAGGAAAATGGCATCTTTGCCAACTGATGGTGATATGATTATGCAATAAACACCTATCTTCTGACCCATGCTGACCTCAGACTAGACAAGGTCACACGTCACAAGGTCACCTCGAACCTTCCCAAGGCTGATAATCTCAGGAGCTAAACCAGGGCCAGAGAGGGCCAAGGTAGTGGTCAAACACTGAGGGGTGAGTTTTGTAATGGTGACTTGGTTATGGTTCAAGCATGGAGCCAGTTCATGGCAGCAACCTTGACACCAATGTGGGCTGGACAACTGGAGTGACTGGTCTCCGTGTTGTCACACAGGACTGTATCAGTGACAATGACAGCTGCCCTCACAGGGGTCCATTTTTTGTGTGTCCCTGTTACATCTGACATATGATTTTGAAAGTTCAGAACACATTTTCTAATTTCCAAGAGTGATGAATTAATGCAAATTACCTGCCAAAACAAATAGTAACAGTTTGAAAACAATTCCGGTGATGTTTCCATGTCAAAGGTCAGATGTAACAGGGACATAAAAATGTCACCCTTCGGGACCCTAATTTCTGGAGTAACCCTCCTTTCTTTGGGGACAGACAGGCAAAGTGTACCGCCATTTTACCACGAAGGAATAAAAATGTACAAGACATGCAGTGTTCTCCACGGACACATTCTTTGGCAGGGCGGCCTGAAATTTCGGTGGGGCGGCCCACCCTGCCAAATCCGTTAGTGGAGAACACTGACATTCCTTAATAAATGTACAGTTACCCAGTATCTATTTAATCGCATCCTGCTAGGGCTTCCATCATGGCATATAAACTCCTCCAAAGAGGAAATGAAAACAAAATGTTCCATGTTTGTTTTCAACAGAATGTAACCTACATGTATGTAGGTCTCTTCCGCATTTCTGACGTTCTGAGAAAAATGCACATTTCCCATTCATGCGTGTACTACAAAACATGTAAAATGAAAAACGTGTACAAATCAATGGGATTTGGACACAAATGTAACAAAATTTACAAATTCCCAGGATGTCGCTGCAAGGGACGTGGTTTACATCATGGCATAACATGATATTAAGTCTGCGCCGAAGAAGGAACAAAAAATGAAAACCAAGTCTCATTAAATTAAGAGAGCCTTCTATGCGATTGACAGTGTTCCCAAGTGTGTGTTACACAACCATTAACGTTCACATGTGGATGCCAAACAAAGGCATTTAAGCAGCTGTTTACATGGGCCTTTCAAATCTAATGATTTTCGGGGGGGGGGAACATCCAAGTGACTGTTTCACTAATAGCTAAATGCGTCAGAGTTGTCGATGCATAAAGCAAAACACTGCAATTAGGACCACAGTCAGCGTGACGTAACCTGCCCGAAGGCCGCGCACACACGCAAGCACCCATCACAGTGGAGCAGAGACCGATCAATGTCAGACGTGTACAGGAGCAGAGCATGTGTCAAAGCTTAATAAGCAATCTTCCATATGTGCTGTCTGCTTGATTGAGAGGACACTCATCACTTGTGTGGTTAAATGCCCTGGAAGTGTCTGACACATTGGCAATTATAATTGTAAATATTCTGAGCATGAATGAATCATTCTCAATTTTTGTATTTACTTTTTTGAAGATGAATTTTCAAGAATGAGGCTTTGAAGGATAGACAATGATACCCTTGGTCAATAAAAGAGGACAAAAGAGAGTAGAAATTAGTTTTAAGTAAATGGAAAAATATTTTGAAGAGGGGCCTACAACCATGACAACTGACATCTTAAAAATGTGTATGTCATATCACTTTAAGATGAATACGTGCAAATGCATACAATGCCAGCAATGTATGAATCCACAACCACGATAATATTGTTAATTAGAGACAGCGTTTGATACATTGAAAAAAAATGTTTTGCTGTGAATTCCAACCTGTCCAACAGGGCAGGCTATTGCTTTGGGCTCAAAACTGCAAAGGTAACATGTACATGAAAATCTACAACTATCAATGAGCTTCATGTTTTGTTCACGTACAGAGGAGAAAATGAAACAACCAACTCAGAACTTTGGTAGTGATGATGTAGGCCAACATTTCAGCAGCCTACAGCAAATAAATAGAACTTGGAGTCGACAATTTCGTCGGGCACAAAGACGAAATCTTGGCTTGTATGAAAAGAAAAATAAAGAGAAACTCTCCACTCTTACCTGCAAAATACGCACAACAAGCTCAGTCGTTTCCATAAGGACTCGTCTCTCTGCTTTACGGGGCCTGCTGAGGTCAAAAATGGGCAGAAATGTCCTCTGAAAATGACTCAGCCCTGGTGGCAAAGCGTGACTCACTGCACAGTTCAAAGCCACAAGAATTCCCTCGTGAGAGAGTGAACTGGTTCTCGTCATGTCGAGACACGAGCTTGTAATGTCTGGAGCATGCATGGATACCAACCAACTAAATTGTTGACAGGGAAGGGGCGAGGCATGCATGAGGGCCGGGCTGGGGTGGGTGTACCGGGTGAAGGGTGGGCGTGGCCTGATTCGACCCTTGCACCGCCTCGCATGCGAGGCAGCTGGAAACAGTGGGATTTTGGGTGGGTGTGGAGAATTTTTTTTTGGGGGGGGGAAGTCACCACTGCTTATTACATTTGGCATGTTGCTCTTGGATGGAGATTTGATGGTTAAATAATGTTAATGTTCATGCGAATTTGGCACGGCTATCCCCTTATAAAAATGCCACTGACAGATTCTATCGAGATTGTAGCCTGGTTGTAAAGTGTTCGTGCCAAATTGTGGAAGTATTCGGGGGTTGACGGACATCCTGCTTCAGCTGTGAGCTTTAAATTTGAAAAAAAAAACCTGGCAAAAGTTCTACAAACTACTGTCGTCTCAAGCTTCAAGATGATTAGGAAAACAGGCTATGTCGTTTTCCAATGATTTTCTCTCTCAGAAAAAATTACTCACTTGGAAAATGTTTATCGTGGCATTTAGCAAATGGTCTTGAAAACCGTAAGCACTGTTTCGTTGTTTGATCGATGTCCGCAAATGGGGGCGCTCTTCTTGTTGCCAAACATTGATCTCCATTGACTGGATAGGACATCGGGTCCAAAACGCGTCCCGCGTATGGGTATTTTCAGGAGGGTAAATAACAAGCGTTGCGAATTTCAAATGGAGTTTTTCAGAAACCAGTTGAGGTTTTTGTGCTTCAATCGTCAGATTTCGAAGAAACACTGAATTCCTCACTTGGAATGGATTAATTTGGAAAGAATAATGGCTGAGGTGTACGCAGCAGTGGTGAATTACCGGAGACCAACGTCAAGTTTGGAAGAAGGAACAGAAGGAATCATGATGTGAGTCGCACTTTTTTAGTTTCAGAAAGTTTCTCAATTTGTACTTTATAATGCTTAACTTTAAGCCTATATAGGCCTAGGTCTAGTAAGAAATTTATGACAGTCTATCTAGCCCATCAGGCTTTGTATATGAAACTTCACTATCTGGAAGTCTGACCGTCTGAAATGTTACTTATTGGCAAAAGCGGTTTCAAAAACTGAATGACTGATTTGTCGTTTAGTTTTCCCAGATTTCACCGGAAAAATCTCCAAGACAACTATGATTTGTGTTTGTCGGATCTAAAGACGCACTGAACCCAAATTGTGTGACGGACAGAATTCTTCTTCGGGGCAGAGATGAAACCAAAGTGAGAAGCAGAGTGTTGACGTTTCTGTTGAATGAAGTTACAAACAAAGGAATTCAACCATTGACAATAGGTATTAAAAATGAATTAAAATCGAACACACACAAAAACAGGTTAATACTATTGCTTTCGAGTGGGTTAGTTAATAAGAAAATTGTTTTCGGGAAGGAGACCGAGGGCTCAGCCATCTTCCCATGAGGAAAAGGTCATGTTGACCAGAAATGCATGGCATACAGCATCACTTAACCCTCCTGAAGCGCCGCTATCCAGTCTATGTAATATAATGGAGATCAATGTTGTCAACCGGCGCACCTATACAAGACAGGTCATACACAAAAAATCATGACAGTCAACTCTTTCACGCACTGCTGCAACATAAAAAAACACACCTTGATATCCAACTACATTTTACACAACTGCCTTCCGAAAAAAGCTGGGCTCTTACATTTATTGACCATGCGGCCACTAGGCCCGTCTGCTCTCAAGAGAGATATCATAGTTGATCATTATAATTTAAAGGACCATTTTTCAGAAGGCTTAGAATGTTTATCGTCATTAATTTAACCAGAGATTAGGCTGATTGATCGGAAATAGCCTCATACTGCAATCTTTATCTTTATTTTCCCCCTCCTTTTTATAAAAAAGTACTTGATATCTGTATCATTTGGAGACTGTGAGTATGCCTGTTTCTATCACACTCGCAGACATTGAAGCAAGCATTTTTCCCCTGTGGTCAACGCGTAAACGTACTTAAGTTTGCGCAGGGCGCGGGTAGAAATTAATCCCCACTAAGTTGAAATAGCGCCACCAAACGAGAGCAAATATCAAGGCGTGTTCTTTTGTAGTGTGGTACCTTCCCTCTATACCAAATTATAACATACGTTTTCCTGTACACAAGTCATGGTACAAAACGCGTCACCTCCACTGATGGGAACTGCGCCGCAATCACTGTCATTCTGTGCACGTAACGATAGACTTCGGAAGTTTGGGGAATTCCAGACAATTTGTGTGTAGGCCTACATGACTGAGACTGTGAACTTACATTGAAAGGTTTGGTATCCGTCGCAACTATTTTGAGGTAGGCCTAATCCAATGTATTTTATTGTTCAGTTTGCTGAGAAGGTTTGGATCGGAGTTAAACCTAACCTGTAAAAATCAGACGTCGACCAAATGCAATAGGGCCGGGGCCTAGAATGCGCCTTCATGTTTTGTCTCATTCGAAAACAAAATTACCTAGGCCTGAGGCTTTTTAAGCCTGCCATGATTATCTTCTGACTTAATACCAAGGGAAGCATTCGCTGCTGGGTTAGATGTCTTGGCTGCCCTTCACAACCGAGATATTTGGAGAATAATTTCCCTGCCCTGTCTTTTACGTCAGTTGATATGGTTGACCATTGATTGTCTAATATTTCAGAACTTCAGCCACACCTTCATGTGGCTGCTTTCCTCTGTTTATCATCAGGATCATGTTTATATCTTAATGTGTTATGTTTTGTATTATTTATTTGTAATGTATATTTGGGGTTGGTGCTTGTTTTCTTTTTGATTGTATTGTGTCTTTCACGTTTTTACCATTCATGCCACTCATTGTGTATGCTGTATTTGGGTCCTTTCATGAGTTTGGGGCACAATTTGTGATGGTGTCCTTGTTACATCAAAAACTTTTACCACCTATCGTGACCTGTAGAGTAGGTCATTTACTCTATAAAAATAACACATACTTCTGTATTCATCCTTGCAAGATGCGTAACGATGTCAGTTTGGAATCCACATGCGGGGAAATAGCTATTCATTTTTATACAAACCCATGTAACAATTGACACCGTTACAAATTGTGGCCCAACCTCAGGGAATGACCAATTTACATATAGGGCACTTATTTTGCACTTTACAAATAGGCCTAAAAAAGTTAATTGTGGCTGGAAATAACATGTAAGCCTATGGAAGTCACTGCCCAGCGGCTGCACTTGCATGCCATAGAATGGTGTGTTGCCCCCAGCCAAGGCCATTCAATTTGGATGCAGCCTGCAGCTGAGCTTACTTTTGCTTTCTGTAGTATCAGATTTGGGAGTTGCCATGGAGAAGCATCATAAGGAAGCGCTTCGTAAAAACCGCGTGGCCCTGGTGCAGGATATGAATTTGACTTATGTCTTCGATGCACTTGTTGAGAGGAACATCTTTGAACCTGCTGACTATGAAGACTTCAAGGTAGATGTCACAGTTTTTTCCATTTTTGAACTTTGGCTGATTTTTAGACTTAACACTGAGTATTTGGCTAGAGGTGGAAATTCTCCAAGAAAGATTTTGGGGAAATCACCAAATGATTGCAGTTTCCCAAGACGTCATTAATCTGAATGAGGCTCTCTAGTCAGGGGTGTGAGAATTCAGCCTTTTAGCTGATTACAGCTTTTTTTGGTTCAGATGTTGACCCTGAATTTCAGCTTTTTGTACACCTGGTCCGTACAAACGCACGGGAACCTATCACATTTTAGCTCTTTGCTAGCTGGCCACTCACACCCCTGAGTGACTCACTCAAAATGTATGCAGCCATTTGGACTATTCTATTTGTTTTGTGGTGGTAGTGACCTGAGCATTTTGACCGTTGCCTGTAAGACTGTGCACCAACTACTCAGTATGCAAAATGGCATGAGCTCTGCTCAGCTCTGGTTTGATTTGACACTCACTAGGAGGAGGGAAAGACGAGTCGCAAGATCAACCAGGTTTTCCTAAATGCCTTGGAGAGGCGCGGACCCCGTGCCTTCGACGCTTTTGTGGATTCGCTAAGGGAACACAAGCAAGGTATTCTGGCTGACATACTGGACCCAGCCTCGGCGCCCAAGTATCCGGCCCAGATTAAGTCCAGGCCGGGGAGGGTGGTGGACAACCCCACGGACTCCCTCACGGGACCCCAGGGGGACTCCAAGTTCGAGCCCATGGATACTCAACCTGCCAAATCAGTCATCACTTCTCCGACAGGTGAGTTCCTGCTTCTCACCAGAGAAAGTCTTCGATCTATCCACTCTTCACCCTGCGAATCTCCAAATCCCTTTGCTGTTACCCTCAAAAATTTCTTTCTCGTACTTGTAAATGGATGTGGTTTCCTGTCTTCTTGTTTGCTTCTCTGAGCAGACGATCAACCGAAGGTCATTTGGCCAGGCAACAGCCCTGCATTAGTAACCGGTATGGAGATGCCAGCATCCCCTATACCCCCTGCCAATCAAGATGCCTCCGATATTGACAACGTAAGTCTTTCATCAGCCGGCAGGATTTTCAAGTTAATATGTTGGTGCATTCCTCTCAGTCTGTAAAGTAGTGTAACTTGTTTAGAAGGGGAAACAGAGACCGAAAGGGACATGTGCCCCCAACCCTCCCCGGAACTTTCACCCAGCCATCAAATCTCTGTCCAAGATTTTATGAGCTATCAGGTTCCAGTAGACACTCTGATCGTCCTTGTTGATGTAAATTGAACATATCACAGCCCCATGGCGACACCGTACTCAGGACAAACCATTAACGTACCACAATACGCAGAAAAAGAACAAGAAAATGACAAGCGAAATTGATGTTACTTTTTGAATATCCATAGCAAATGCGGATATTTATTGATATTTAGGTCTATCAGATGAAGTCAAAACCACGAGGGATTGCTATCATCATCAACAACAAACACTTCAGGACGATGAACACCAGGAAGGGAACTGACATTGACGGCAAGAACCTGAACTACGTGTTTGAAAAGCTTGGATTCACAACTCTTGTCAAGAATGACCAAACTGGGGAGGTAAGATGTGAAATTTGACCCCCCCCCACCCTCACTCCTCTCGGCCTCCTTCGTTGATATTAAACAAGTCCGTAGAGGCGTCATTATCGAGTTCATTTTTTGGGTTTCTTTTTAAACTGCCTTTTCTCAGCAAATGCAACAGATCTTTCGGGATACTGCCTCCCACAACCACTCCACCTTTGACTGCTTCATCCTAGCCATCTTGACCCACGGTGTAGAGGGTGCTATATACGGCACTGACGAGCGAATCGTCAAGATCGAGCACATCACGTCGTACTTTGAAGGTGGCCGGTGCCCCACGTTGGCGGGAAAACCCAAGCTTTTCTTCCTTCAGGCTTGCAGAGGGGGTAAGCTTAGTTTTTTTGACAGCTGAAAAGAAAGTGCTTATTTTTTGAAATTCCTAGTACCCTTGTCAACTAAGCGTAATTTCTGGAGCCAAGATTCGACATGCGATTTTTCTTTTGTGCAGAACGATTTGATAGTGGCCATGAAGCCACAGATTCCAAGGCGGTTGCCCCGAGTGACGCCGATGCCACGCAAGACTCCATAGCGCCCTTGAGTGACGAGGAACTGGCCCAGAGGATGCTGCAGCGCGAGTTAGAAGATGACACAGATGCATCCAACGCCATCCGATCCAAGCTGCCCAGCCAGAGCGACATGCTGCTGGCCTACGCAACGGTGCCAGGTAAACAGGGCCACGCTCACAGTACCGCAAACTTGCAGCGTATCAGTGGAAGTTTGTACTGCATTATGGGAAAAAATCACGCCATCTGTCTTTGTTGCTTAACAATGACTCGTAGCGTTCCATCATCATACCTCATTCGTCCTTTCACAGCCACATCCTAGGTCAGTTCTTACCACTTTACCACGAAGTGAAGCGATAAATAATGGGACGATCTTTTATTTGGCAGGGTTTGTGTCATGGCGTAACTCAGAGCGCGGGAGTTGGTTTGTGCAAGCTATGTCGGAAGTCTTTATGGAGCATGCTCCCAAAGAGGACCTGCTGTCGATGATGACGATAGTGAGTTGACCGGAATCAGTAGAGGAGACAGTATCGTGGCATGGTTCTGTTTTTCAAAAGCCAAGATCGTTATCATGAGGAAGCTTTTTTGATCTTATTCCCACAATCTGTCTTTTACATTGTAAACCATTGATTTTGATAGAAGCAGACAGTTTTATGTGATTTCGTCCCTTTCAAAATCTGGCTTTAAACACTGAGATATGTTTGATCACAAATTTGAAATACTTCATCAGAGGGGATGGGTCCTAATTTTTCATGAAATTTCACCGTTTTTCTTTCTCTCATTTGTACTCTCAATTTCCAAGAATGAAAAGTTAACCTTGCTTTCAATTTCATTGGGACTGATCCATGAATGAAGTCTGTTGCCCAGGAAGTAATCAAAGGCTACGTCTGAAGTACTTGGCTGCGGCTTCTCATAGAGTCGTGCAGTTTCAAGCTGCAGCCGAGTAATTTCGACACAGTCTGAGCCGCTTTCGGTGGCTTTGCAGTCAGAATTGGAGGTGACATGATTCACTCTCTCTGGCCTGAGAAGTTGTTTAAGCAGAGATCTAAATATGTCTCTCTCGTTTTCTTGAAATCACAGGTTAATAACAAAGTTGCTCTGGCCTTTGAGTCGTCTTCCGGACGCAACAAGCAAATCCCAGCTCCCGTGACGATGCTGCGGAAGAAGCTCTACTTCAACCCGGGACATTAAGGGCAGTAGAACACCACACTAAAAACACAATAAAAAGTCCAAGATTTTTTCTGGGGTGAAACTTAAGTTGTTCCCGCATTTTGCCATGACCTTACAACCTCGGGCCAATTTGAAGAAGACACTGAGGAATTTGCTAAGCCTTGGAAATATTTACTTAGCCAAAATGGGTTACCAATCACAATGACGCAGGATTTATATTGTCCGTGACTGGTTCCCAGCGCAGTGTTTTCAGTTAAGCAGCTCCTTCATATTGGGCTCAGGTGGTAAGTCCTACCAGAGGGCGAAGCTTACAATTAACTGGGGAGGGGGGTGTCAATGCAAAAAAAGTCTGCACTTTCAAAAGTATCCAACAGAATGTGAGTATGTTTATTAAGCTTTCGCGTCTAACCAGTAGTCTATTCCTATGGCTGTTCCGGTTCCAAAGTTATAAAATTTAGGAGATTGATGACTGCCTACCCTCGTCTCCCGAAGACCCTCAACACTAACCTCTGTAGTTTGGCCATTGCCAGGTTATTTCAAGTGTGTCATCACAATCATATTTGTTTTCTGATTAGCGACTCTGGTTTTTTTCAGACGAAATAAGAGCATTGTTCCCATGACAACTAAAAAATACTCCCTGGCCTGGCCATTGTTATTATTTGTCACGAATTGCAAGACCAAAAGATCCTGAGTGACACAAGAATTTCACATAACGACAGAAGTTTGTGTTTAGGATCTCGTCTCCTTAGAGCGAGAATGCTGTTTTTTCTTTGTTTAACAGTAGCACAATTAACCTGAGTGAGCAGATACATACACGTAGTGTCAGTATCTTGTATATTGTAGAGTTGAAGCGTTATTCAGCGATGTTATTGCATTTATCTGTGACCCAGGTTTGCAAGAGCATGAGATGCAGGCTTAAGCAGTTGAAACATTTCTCTCTTGGGTTATCACTGGGGGAAAGGCAATATGAACCAATGCTAGATCTGTCTAAAAAAGTCTAGCCTAGCAAGTTTTTTTTTCTTTTGCTCAAACGGAGGACTGCCGCTTGAAGGCGTGGCTGAGGATTTGAAACTGAACATCTCATCTCCTGCTCTGTTTAGTTTACTGCACAGACTTAGGGAAAGTTATTTTCGTCAGGAATGGGCCTCCCCATACCCCACAACTGGTTAGTTTTGCCTGTAACAATGCAGAATAATGAGGGGCACGGACGATTTGAATAGCAAACTTTTTCGAGGCAAACTCCAACCGTTCACAGTCCCCTTCACTTCCAGTTTATAGTTTGGAAGGTATTTTTAGGTCATTCAAAGGTGACCGTTTGGTTATTTGCTGAATAAAAGTGAGACTTCAGAAACTGATTTATGGTTTTTTAACTGTTGCATATTTGCTTTGCAAACTTTCGACTGACGAACAGTTGCAGAGGTTGAAAAACACAGTTTTGTGAAATTTTGGTGATGTTGAAATTATTTAATTTTAAACAGTGGGAAAAGATTTCCTAAAATTGCCATATCACAACTGAAGTTAGAGGCCTTCACACAACCCTACGACATTGATTTTAAATTGTGGAGAAAGAAATAGTTTTGTTATGTTTTCAGCCTCAAATCTGAGCTCTGGCGGAAAGCGTAGGGCCGAGTGTTCGGTCTCATTTTTCATGTCTGGGAGAATTTGTTTGTTTGGCTTGGAAAGGCTCTTGGCTCCTTGTTACTGCAGAAACGCACGTATGCCATAACCAGTAATTTACAGCCACGGTTGCCACTCTGACAGGTTCGTTGTCTTCCGGTTAGCCCGACCTGTAACTCAAGTGCAGGTCAAGTAAAGGTCACAGGTAAAAGGTCACATGTATGTCGACGTGTTCGGCTGAGGGTACCTGCGGGTGGGACATGTTGAACCCTCGTTCTGTTATAGCAGGTCATTAATTTAAATGCAAATGTTAAAGTGTCATGGAAGTGGAAGCAGAGAAAGAGATGAAGACTGTACATTAGTAAAAGTGCAAGGAAGTAAGTTTGAGAGTGGCGACAGTGACAAAGACAAGATTATTTCTGTTATTTACTTCAGAAGGAAAGCAATTCTGGTGTGTGGGAGAAGGATGGTTTATGAATTCATGCGTGCCAGATCGAGGCAAAAGAATGTTCCACCATCGACCGAATTTCCTTTCATTTTATCAGCGAACAAAAGATTCATTATATATGTGAAATGTAATCTAAATGTAGTAATTATATAAATGTGATTTCCACGTTAAGTGTTTTGGTTGTCTGAAGTATTGTAAAAACCTGAGACCGAGATCTGACGGCGGAGGTCGAGACCAAGTCCTTAGGGTCCAAAGGTGGGACTTGGACCTCATGGGGGCGAGAACCGAGACCATGGCCCCAGACAAATCGGACAGTGGTGAAAAATAAAACATTGCAAAAACAATGTAAACAGACTCGTTGATAACTTGTCATCAAAAGGGAACAGACCGTATATCCATGTACATTTATAACCTGCGGCCACCTTCAGGTACATGTAACTCACGGCCTGACATTATTACGAATAGTGCCATCCAAATATTCACATCACCGTCATATAATTACAAAGCACCATTTGGTGGTTGTCAAATTGTGTGGTGCTCGAAAGACAGTGAGTGGCGGGGGGCTGGACAAGAAACTATATATCAGACTCGTAAAATAATGTAGTCTCGGGCCGTGTCCGAAACGGGCTTCCAGAGCTACGGCTAGGTCTATTGTCTATGCGTCTCCTCGCATTTCCAATGGAGCGAAGACCTAGACCTAGCTCTAGACAGCAGATTCAGATGCAGCCTCAGCTTGAGTCTTGTCGATCAGTGGCGTAATACAATGAGGGGGATTCCCCCGTTTGAAGTGTTGGAACGTGTACATGTACAAACGTAGAAGTCTCCTTCAGAACTAGCCACAGTTAATTTGCGTTCAGTGCTCCTTGAAAATGGGAGCACCCTGTGGTTACACCACTGATGCATGGTTATACTTTATGTATCCAGGGGAGGTGTGCAAGTTTATTAAAACCCTCCTAAAAAAAAAGACACATTCTTTACACAGTTGTCCTGTCGGTCCAAACCAGTAAAATTTCCCGTGTGTGTCTGTGTACTGGGGGAAATCAAGTGGAAGCAATTTTGACTGTTTTTGACAGTCACAGCAAAAGGAGGGTTTTAAAGAACTGGGATTTTCAAAACGTAAAGTAATTAATATTGTACTGTATGTGATCAAGAGGCAGAAAAAAACCCGCATGGATTATTAAAGTTCAGTTCTTTTTCTGTCTGGCATTTTTTCAAATTGACCGTAAGCAGATCAGGCTTTAA